CTAGATAGACAGGTTCGGAGATTGAGAACTAAGGACGTAGCTTCGGTTAAAGTACTTTGGAGAAACAATAATGTGGAAGAGATGACTTGGAAGCTGAAAAAGACATGAAGTCTAGGTATCCTCACTTATTTCCATTTCTAGAGGAGGATCAGACCGAGACATCACAACCTTAAGGTGCGTGTATGAGTTCTTTTGTTAGTTATTATCATTGGTCGTGTGAGGCCATTGTCGTTATGGATGATTGTGGCCTTATGTGGCATTGTGTTATTGGGTTTGCTACGGGAAAGGTTGGTAGTAGTACTGTTACAGAGGAGACTGCCAAAATTTATATAGATCTCGGGGAGTGAAACATTCGAGGACGAATAGTTCTAAGGGGGGAATGATGTTACATCCTGCGTTTCCGTACGTTAAAGTTTTGTCGTAAGTATCGACGCAAGCTCGGGAATGATATTATTTTTGAGGTAATAAGTATTTATGCTATTTATAACAAATGATAAGTAAGTGATGTGAAAGTTAGAGGGTAAACAAATCAAAGAAAATGAGTTTTATTAAAGTTTGACAATTTGAGATAAAATATGGTCCAAGCTATAATATCCTGTATTGATGGACTAGTGCCATACAATATACCACGTGACCATAATAGTAAGGTATATAAAGTATATTACAAGTGATTAGTATTTTAAGTAATTTGAGATAATTCCTAATTATGTGGAAAATGAGTCAATTGTTGGTTTTTAGTGGAAGATTAACAAACTAACTAGAAATTATGGATAAGCAATTAGTGGAAACACTATCCCCACGTGGTAGCAAGTGGAATTATGGATCAAAACCTTATAGTGACTCTTTGGTATATGGAAATAGGTGGCATTTAGGAGATTTTTGGCGAAGTAATCCACATCAAGTGGGGCCCACAACCCACTATGATAAGAGACCTCCCTAATTTATTAAAGGGAGACGCGTATGTTTGCAAAGTAACGGATGAAAGCCAAAAAAGAATTCACACGAAACTACGTAGTGCTATACCAGCGTGAGTTGCAATTCCAGGGGAGTACGGTACAACCTTTCTCAAGAATATCGTATGGATTTTTCCCTACTTCGTTCCACCGTTACGTTAAGGCTATCCCTTATTTCCTTTTGGCATGATCCATATGATACAAACAAAACGAGTAAACGCACAACTTTCATAAATTACTCTATTCATAGAAGTACTAGGGGTGCCTATGTTCTTGATTTCCCATGTGCCTTATTTATATCTTCTATTCATGGGTCGCAGAAAAATACGTAGTTGATAAAGTTTATCTGAGGGCATATTGATCTTATGACATTCCGAGAGATATACTGACTTACTTCCTTATGCATTGCATTCATTTACACATGTACATTGACCCATGACCAGATGGTGTTATATACGCGTATATTATATGTATATGGGATATGGGAAAAGGTTACGATGTTATATACGCACATCCACCTGATAAGTTGGTATACATTGATGATTTCTCCCACCGATGCCAAGATGATATGATGGGATGCCCTCAAAGGCTTGATGAAGTTATGTACGCATATAGCTAGGCATGATATGACATTTATACGCACATGCATGACATTATAAATGTTTCAGGATTCACAGAGTTATTTAGACTTATAGGTGGATTCCTTTATTCCATGGTTCTTTTATGTCTCGTATGTACTGATTTTCATGCCTTACATACTCGGTACATTATTCGTACTGTGCCCCTATTTCCTGGGGCCTGCGTTTCATGCCCAGGTACATGTAGACAGGCTGACGACTCCCCTTCTTAGGATTCTAGCTCAGCGAGAGTTGGTGTGCTCCACTTGATCCCGAGCTGCTATTGATTTTGGTACGCTATTTTTATATGTAGATATGGGTACGACGGGCCCCAGTCCCGTCCTTTATACAGTTGTGCACTCTATTAGAGGTTTGTAGACAGTCAAGTATACTTGGATAGTATGTGGCCTTGCCGGCTTCTAGTTTTTGATATATAGTTATCTGTAGCAGCCTTGCCGGCTCGCCCTACCGTACTTCGCATGTATATGTATATATGTCTTTTGGGCATGTTTTCCTCGCGTATGTTATTCACGTGATTCAACAGTTTATTGATAGATGTTATGCATGATCTACCCTTTTTATGTTAAGTCTTAGACATATGCTTAGGGGTGTTCGACAGGTAAGACTCGGGCACTCGTCATGGCCTATCGGTTTGGGTCGTGACAATGATAGCCCCGACGTGTGCTTTCACGGAAGAGTCTGCAAGCATAGCAAATGAGTCAATAGAATTAGGAGGTTAGTTGTGATACTATATCATAGCTTCCTTTGATAGGGTCTGTCCGAATTTCTTCAACAAGATACATTCGATCTCATCATCCTCCAAGTCGTTCCCTTTGATGGCGCATGTGTAGGAGGTAACATGCTCGTTTGGGTCAGTCGTTCCGTTGTACTTGGGAATCTCGGGCATGTGGAATTTTGTAGGGATCGACTTTGGAGCCACACTCGGAGGGAAATGTTTTTTCACGAACTTCTTGAAATCCAGGCCTTTCAGTATCGAAGGTGCTTCCGGGATTTGGTCGACCCTGGAATTGTAGGTTTCTACCTTTTTGTCATTAGCTTCAATTTTCTTCTCACATGATTCTATCCGTTTTGTCAGCTCATCGAGCATTTTTATGATCTCGGGGTTGGTCCCCGACTCATTTCCATTCGACCTTTCTGCGACCGGTTCGTTCACGCAGGTGAGTTCCCGGCATGATCGGGTTCAATTCCGCTTGGTGCGGGGCTTTGGTTCTGTAATTGAGCTATCGTCGCTTGTTGAGCCTTTAACATTTCGAAGATCATCAGTAAATTGATCCCATATTCTCTATTGTTTTGAGTATTTTGCGATGTTGATCGGGCTCCACCACAGGTGCTATTCTCGGGGTCGGTAGGCAGATTTATGTCGATATCCATATGCAAGTTAGCGTCCAACAGGTCCGCGATTGGATTTCCGATGGGATCAACAGGCGGCACCTCGTTACCGGGCGTTATGTTGTTATTTTGACCGTGGTGACCAGATTCATCATCAACAGGTAGGGGTGCTAATTGTGAGTTTGACATTTTGAGCTTTAACCTGAAATTAGAGGCACTTCAAAGAATAAGTGTAAGTAGTGTGTGTTATGGAAATTTGTATCAAATACCATTATTATCCTTAGCCACACGATGGGCGCCAAGCTTTTTACCCTCAAAATCGAATAATAATTAAATTTGTAAGTGGTTTTAAGGATACGTGGATTCAATTGACACAAAGCGATAATTAAAGATGCAATTGAACTAAACAATGATAAAGTAAATTCAAACCACGCAACTTGAACAGTTATAGCCTTGGAAAGTCATTCACACTTGAACAATAGCTTACAAAAATAATAATACACTGCTTTGGGATGCGTGTTACAAGTAATGAGACCCCCTTTATATAGTATGAGAGTCCTACTTTAGGTACAATTCTATAAAAGGTAAAACCTCTTGATTCGCTGAATTGTCGGTTCCTTATTGATACGTGCCGAGATTCCCGCCGTAATATCCGACCGATCACGGATATTTTGGCCTCTTGTTATTTCGGTCTTTTGTCGATTACGCTGACAATGTTTCCTCAAGCTTGTTCGGGGTCAGGGTCGATTCTGGGATCACAGATTCAATGTTCTCGAGGACAGACATTCTGATCTCGGGTACTGGCTCGGTGGGACTTGGGGTCGATTTTCAGTCCCTCAGGTTCCGAGCCCGATCTACCATGTCGTAGACGAGCCCGAATTCTATCGTATACACTTATGCAGGCGAACAACGTGTTCGATATTTTTCAATAATTGAGTATTTTGAAAATTAATTGAGTATCTAGTAAATCAAGTTAATTCCCCTAATATTAACACTTTGCTATTGGAAATCAAGCTCATTCCGCTTATATTAACACTTTACTCACTTTGATCAGAGTCATTTGAATTACATATTTGTTTGCACCTCGGTTTTGAGTTAATTTCAGCGAATGTCCTCGCTATTACATTAGTAATTAGTGTATCTTTTCTCGAGAGAGATGGGTGGAATGGGGAAGAAGAAGAGGGAAAGAAGATTGGTAAAATTGGAGTCCAATGCATTATTCTATATATAAAAATGATAAATTGTATATCAACTTGTAATTAAATGGGAACTTCAATTTTGAGGATATATAAATTTTAAAAGTAGTGTAGATAAGTAAAACTCTCAACTGAAATTTACGTGTACAACAATGTAAATTCAAGTATTTACATATACCTTTATGTATTTGTGTGTTTATCTTTTTTAATTAAAAAGGAAACTAAAATTTTCAATAGACTATATTTTAGGCAAAAATATAAAAAAGGAATTATTGCATAAATAGCCGGCCAAATTCAATATTTATTTTTGTTAGACGGTATACATAGATAATACACAATATATATATATATACACATAGATAATACACAATATATATATATATATATATATATATATATATTATACATATATCATACATGTGCTGGCTATTTATAGTTTAAGAGAATAGGTGGCGACTATTGAGTTAATTCTTCTAGATCGAAGAACATAATATACTTATTAACAATCTTTAACAAAAGCCCAAGTCCAAGAGTTTTTCACGTAAGGTAGGCAATGGCACTGGGCAGCCGCTTGTAATGGCATCATTTAAAACATAGCTAGTTTTAGATACCTATTTAAGGTTTAGCCACTATATATAAGTAGTAATTATAAGTTTTTTTCCCACAGTTTCGTTATATCTAACTTTCAGAGTTCATTAGATATTTGATTTAAAATAAAAATTGCTGATTCTTAACGAACTTAAACAACCAAACTATTCATTGGAAAAAACAATTAAAACTATGAGAATGGTAAATTACTTATTTCAAAACATAAGTGGCCATTTTTGTAATTTTCTCGAGATTTGAGTAGTGGCAAGGTGTTCAGATCTCAAGCTAAAAAGGCTTTTCTTCGCCGTTTTTAGGGTTTTAGGACTCTTCCTTATCTCTCTCTCTCAAAAAACCTAATTTCTCAAATTCCTCACTAATTCTCAGCCATGACTGCTGCTCAATCGCAAGAAGAGCTCTTAGCCGCTCATCTCGAACAACAAAAGATTGAAGTAATTCTCCATTAATTTCTGTTTAAATTGATTTAATAGTTCGATTTATCGTTTTGTAAGATTCGTTTGTTGCTTGAGATTTATGTCATACTCTTTTAATTTTTTATTTTGTTGTACTTACATGCTTGTGTTGTGACTGTCTGGGTTAAGTGACATAGAAATATTGGTATTTGTAGAGAAATTGGAAGATAGATTAAAATTTTGAGAAAAGACCTGTTAATATACAAGTTCGTAGGGTAAAATTTTGATTTTTGAGGTTATTAAATTCCTGGGTACTTCTCAGTTTGGAAATTGAAAAAGGCAAAGATATGTAAAAGGACTAGTGGTTCACTGTTTTCCTCCAGAAATTTTGAATGGTCTTTCCAATTGAAAGATTGAACATTTTTCCTACGTATGTATCGAGATATTGTATTAGCTTTCTGAGCCCCTTCAAATGGGACCTGCTCAATCTGGATTAGTTGGTTAAACAAAAAAAAATGAGCTTTCTGTGTGTTACAATTGCATTGGAAGGCTAATTAATTGTTCAGAAATGATAAATAATAAAGATTTGGAGAACGAATATTAATTTGCTTGTTCACCATGGAGACTCTAAATGATGTTTTGAGTGAAAGTTTGAATTTTGTTATAAGGAGGTAAGAGTTTGAAACTTTCAAGGCTACTAACAGAATTAGTAGGATAAATTTATGAACAGAAGTGTAAAGAAAGAAGGAAATAGAGGAAAAGCTTCTTTGGTCCATATGTGGATGCTAGAAGTGATAAACTTTAAGTGTATTCTCATTGTTTGGCATTAAAATATCTTTTCTCAAGAGAACAGGTCATTTTGCTCCTTGTGTAAGCTTATATGTTTATAATTGTTCTCTTGTAGTCTGAGGAACCTATTATCGAGGATGAAGAAGAAGATGATGATGAAGATGATGATGATGACAAAGATGATGATGATGCTGAAGGTAAATGTAGAACCTAAATGTTAATTCTGAGTCCTACTTAGGTTGTATAATATTCTGTCAGTTCACATAAAGATGGTATTATTTAACATTTCAGTGACAGCAGTGGTGGAGATGCCCTTTAGATAGGGATGTCATCTGACGCCGCTTCTCAAAAAAAAAAAGTTTCTTATTCACGTGTGTGAAAATACTTTTCTAAGAAACAATTGTATGCAAATAATAGGATAACAAATCTTTAAAATAATATAAAGTAATATCAATATGAGACAAGAAGTAAAGCCTTAAAACCAACATAGTCCTAGACCCTAACCCACACGGGGAATTATGATAATAGACCAACACTGCTTGCATAAAATCTTGTGTACATGACTTTATTGTAATTTTCTTGTTCTACATATTTTTTCTATTCCCGTCTTGATTTTTTAATATGCAGTTTCATAGGTACCAGGATTAATGAGTTAATTTTATATATGGGCAAGCTAAACCCATATAAATGAGATTGTATCAGAAACTAACGAAAGTCATTAATTAAAAAAAAAACAAAAGTCATCGTGTTCGCCTAAAATCATTCCCGTGGCTCATAAAAAGGATCCACAAGAACCAAGATCTTAATGTTGGAAGTTGCATTTTGCTTAAATAGGAGTGCTACATATATTTCTCTGTCCCGATGCAACTGAAAGGCCAGGTGAGTTTCTTCATCTCTGGTTATTGTGGTAATGCTTAAATGTTTTATTGTGGGCAGACCTCGGAGATGGTAGTGGCAGGTCAAAGCAGAGCAGGAGTGAGAAGAAGAGTCGCAAAGCTATGCTAAAGCTAGGAATGAAGCCAATCCCAGGGGTCAGCCGTGTAACTGTCAAGAAGAGCAAAAATGTTAGTTGACGTTATTATTTTCTCACTTCTCTTTTTCCCTTGTTTTCTTTTAATTCTATTTTAGTTGCTTATGTTGTAGCTATAACTTTCTTTTGATTCTTTGTTAACTTCTACTTCAGATTCTATTTGTCATCTCAAAACCAGATGTTTTCAAGAGCCCAAATTCAGACACATATGTCATATTTGGTGAAGCAAAGATTGAGGATTTGAGCTCGCAGTTGCAGACTCAAGCTGCAGAGCAGTTTAAGGCTCCTAACCTGAGCAACGTTATATCGAAGCCTGAGCCATCGACTGTGGCTCAGGATGATGAGGATGTCGATGAGACTGGTGTAGAACCAAAGGATATAGAGTTGGTGATGACTCAAGCAGGAGTGTCCCGAGCTAAAGCAGTCAAATCTCTGAAGGCTGCTGATGGTGATATTGTCTCTGCTATCATGGAGCTTACAAATTAGGATGTCCCAGTCTTTTGAGCAGTGCTTTCGTTGAAAACATTCAGGTCGTGAGTTTTAAAGGTTTTGAGTTGCTGCGCTTTTTTATCTGTGTCCTGTCCATCTTATCCTCTTCCGTTGTATACCAGATTGGACTGTTATGTAAGAGAGAAGGTTTAACTTGTGCTGCGCCTTTCTGTCTAACTAAATTTTGTCTCGATTAGTCTTCTTGCTCCATTACTTGGGGGGGGGGGGGTGGGGGTGCAAAAGAGCCAGGCTAAGGAGCTGCCAAGTCTCTCGACCTACTTTAGCTCAATGTATAATGAGCTGAGGCCTGCGTCGCCTTTCTGTTTATCTCTCCATATTTCGGAACACTTGAAACCTGTCCGACCTTTAGAATTACATAACCAACGACAATAAGACCTTTGCGATATCTGATGAGGACTGAAATGCAAAGGAAGGTGTCATATAACTATGACAAGAATTTTAGCTGCAATCTGGTTAAAACAGCTTCGAATGACAACAACAATATACCCATTATGTTTCAACAAGTGGGGTCTGAGGAGAGTAATATATACGCAGTCCTCACCTCTACCTTGTGAAGGTAGATAGGCTATTTTCGGAAGACTCTCGGCTCAATATAACCAAATCACAGCAATTACGATAGAGAATTACGGCAAGCAAAATAGTAACAATTAAAAAAATAAAACGATGCAAAGAGAAAAATATAGAAAAATAAAACGATGCAAAGAGAAAAATATCGAACTAAAAATAATGAACACAAGGATGACACTAGCACTAAAGCAAGGGAAGGAAGTACAGGTGTGAAAAGGAAATAAACTCAACCACTATAAAACATGTAACCCTAATCTTCGACCTCCACACCCACCTATCAAGGGTCATGTATTCGTTAAGCTGAAGATATGCCATGTCATGTCTGATAACCTCTTCCAGATATTTCTTCGGCCTACCACGCCCTCTCGTTGATCCACATAACCTCCATTTTATTTTCCCTCACATAGCTTCACGTCAAGCTTTTAGTAATGGGACCAAACAATTCATAGACTATGGGTGTGTTTGGTATGAAGTTTTCTAATTTTTCCATGTTTGGTTGATTTAAATATTTTAGAAAATATTTTCCTCATCAACTCATTTTCCTCCAATTGGAGGAAAATGTTTTCCTTGTCAAAAGGAGGAAAAATATTTTTCAAAATTCTTTTTCAACCTTGTCCACCCTATTACCCATGCCACCAACCCTTACCAATCTACCCTCACCGACCCCACCCCCAAATCACCCCAACCCTCTACCCCCTCACCCGACCACACCCCACTCACACCTCGCCCACCACCCACCCTAAATAGAACTATTATTAAGAATACTTTCTTTTCATTTGTAGATAGAGTACTTTTTTTATTTCAACAAAATGAGTATGTTTTTTTTCATGATGTAAAAGTATTTTCTTTTATTTCAACAAAACAAAAACTTTTTTTTTCATGATGTAGAAAAAAGTATTTTCCTTCATTTCAATAAAACGAGTACTTTCTTTTCATGATGTAGAAAAAGTATTTTCTTTCATTTTTTTATGACGTAGAAAAAGTATTTTCTTTCATTTAACAAAACGAGTACTTTCTTTTTATGATGTAGAAAGAATATTTTCTTATTTCAACAAACTGAGTATTTTCTTTTCATGATGTAGAAAAAGTATTTTCTTTCATTCAACAAGATGGGTAGTTTCTTTTCATGTTGTAGAAAAGATACTTTCTTTTTCAACAAGATAAAATATTTCTTTTAGTTATCGAGCTCAAATTTTAACGTTGTTCTTGTATGAAAAAATAAAGTAGCACATTAGTTCCTTAGGATCTGTGTGACTTATGAAAAGAGTTATTAAATTCTTGAAGAAAATAGAGTCCGGGGGAGAGGGTAAGGGGGGTGGGATGAAGGAGGACATGAAACATGAGAATTTGGGGAAGGTGAGTTGAGGAGAGTAGCATAAAAAATTATTTTCCAAAAAATATTGTATACTCTCTAACCAAAAACTAGAAAATGTCTGGATTTTTTTTTCATTCACCAACCAAATAAGAGAAAATAAGTGATAAAATCATTTATTTTCCATGAAAAACATTCTCCTTCATACCAAACACACCCTATATAAAACAAGGTTTACCTCCCCATTATGTTAGAAGATTGGGGAAGGGGGAGGGAAATAAGAATTGGAATTACACCTAGTGTGTGGGAGACTTCCACTAGTAGTAACCACATGTCACTTGGTTTAGTCATGACCTAAGATCAATGTATAAATTTGTATAATTCTTGTATATAACATATCGAATGTATATATATACAAAAAATATATAAATTTTATATATTTTTTCGACTATTATTTTTATAACGGCTATACGATATCATTTTTTCATAGCTTTGGGATTACATATATTCCGTGATATCGATGTGAAATGAAGTGAACTACTATGATATTACAAATTCTAAGAGATAGTAAAAAATTCTTTAAATTGACTTATTTTAAGTTAACTAAATCTCTAGTAATTCATCAAGGCGACTAAATTGTTGGTCCATCAATCAAATATTGTGACTGATATTCTCTAATTTGTAATATAATTCAGTTCAATATCATGTACATCTATCCTCGACACATAGTCCTTTTTTTAATTAAAAAAAAAGGAGGGCCACAGAATTCGGATTCCTCTTTCTTCCATTGTTGTTACTTGTTATAAACAGAATAAGGAATCCAAGGTATTTTACGGTCAAAACAAATAATGAGTCTTTATGCGAACGAGGAATTATTTATCTATACAGAATAGGAAAAACAAAGTAATGTGAAGATGCCAAATGTCACAACAAAAATTCAACAACTATCAAATTTTAAGACAAAATTAGTTAGGTTAGTTAATAATTAGTTATCTTTTGAATTTGATTTTAAAACAATTAAATATCTATGTATTTTTAAGAAAATTATTATAAAAAAAGAGAAAAATATATAACTATATAACTTCAATGATAATTTAATAGTATTAGATAATAGATAATACAATTAGATAAGCAAGAAACAAAATATAAGTTTGTGGAAAAATAAAAAAAATGTAAGACTTATAATTAGAATTATGATGAGAAAAGTCGTACATATATACATAACTAAAATCATATTAAAAATAGTTATAAAGGAAGAATACTAGAAAAAAAATCAAGTGATAGCATATATATATATATAAATTAAAATTCTCATGTAGGAAATTTTAGTTAATAAATAGAATTCATAATTTTATAATGAAAAATACAAAAATATAAAGATACTATAGAATATTATACATAATATATATATATATATATATATATATATATA